CAAGGCCAGGTTGGATGGGGCTGTGAGCAACCTGGTCTGGTGGGAGGTGTCCCTGCCCAGGGCAGGGGGGTTGGAACTGGGTGGGCTTCAAGGTCCCTTCCAACCAAACCTGTCTATGATTTCCCAGGTAGGGTAGACAACAGACCCAGCTGGCACGACCCAGTGTCATCTTCTAGATGATTTAGCTTCAGTCGTTCAAATCTTTCGGACTTAGGACTCAGTACCTAGGTAACACAAAAATAAGCCAAACACCAACTTGGTTACTGGAAGGAGATGTGCTCTGCAAAGCTGTGGCCTTATTTTGTGTTCAGGGCTCTGCACAGTACAGCGCTGGTTTGACAGACCTCTGCCCCTGAGAGCCAAAAGGCAGCTGCTGCCACGGCTGGGAGGGTGCGAGCCCAATTTCAGCAGTCGTGTGGTCTTACACCAAGTTCAGACCAAACTACTACATCAGTTTGCATTTGTTATCTCAGATTCAGATGCCAGCAGGCTGTTGCACTTAAGCTAGCTTTCTTTGTATTTTTATTAAAAAACATATAACCAAAATGTGGAGAATAGATGTATTGGCCTATCTTGGTAACTTGGTGCTAGACATTCACGGTTTCTCATTTCTCTCCCTTTTCAGTTCTAGGTCCTAGTTCTTACATGGATTTGCAGAAGATTTTCTTAAGCCATAGTTCCTGTAGCTCTGTAAGGTGCAGTGAGCTCATCTAACAGCTCAGTGCGCTCAGAATGAGGATTTTACCGCTTGCTTTGTGCGAGTACTAGCATTGATAAGATCCTTCTATGAGCTGCTGTAAATCATTAAAATAGCATAAAGCTATCATTACCTGATTTTCTTCGGGGTCACTGGAGCGGCCCACAGGAGGATTCAGTGAACACCTACAGCTGCGTAAGGAAACAAAGCAGTTTTCCCAATTTTCATTTGCATGTCAGCCTATGAGGGGTATTTGGCTTCCTGTGAATCTATAGCTTGTGTTTGGTTACCACAATTGTGAGAAAGCTCAGAAAACACTGTGATGTTAGGGCTGCGCATTTGAGTAACCTGAATACAGGCTCTGATACCATTTAAGAGAAAAAAGTAAATTCAGATCACATTATTTAATGGTGGCTGTAACTAAGGAGCTCAGACAAATTTAGGTAAAACTAATCTAGTCCGAAAAATAGTGCATTTAATTATTCATCCTAAAATATGTTAGGTAAAGTAACCATGATTTATCTTTCTTGTCAGATTTCAGATATACCATGCAGAAGAGGTTTCCATCCATTCTGGAAGGTAGGTTTGTAGTTGTTGGCTTCAGAAGGATGGCTGAAGCTTCTCTTGCATCTTATGTACAAACCCGATTTTATTATTGCTTACAACTTACCCCAGGAGACACGGCAGAAGTGTTTATTGTTATGCACAGGTGAGGCTGGAGCGTCAGACGGGGGGACTACACATCTAGCAAAACTAGCCACAGAGTGGCACACCTTCAGACAGGCCTAACTTAGAGCTGATGCGCATTTTCCTGTTTTTCAGTGTATTACAAATCCAACGAGTGGTCTGGAATTCACGGCATAAGGGAGAATGACCAAATGACATGGTTAAGCAGCAAGAACTGAAGTAAGAAAGACGTGTGATTAGACGGGGGGACTACACATCTAGCAAAACTAGCCACAGAGTGGCACACCTTCAGACAGGCCTAACTTAGAGCTGATGCGCATTTTCCTGTTTTTCAGTGTATTACAAATCCAACGAGTGGTCTGGAATTCACGGCATAAGGGAGAATGACCAAATGACATGGTTAAGCAGCAAGAACTGAAGTAAGAAAGACGTGTGATTAATTAAAAAATTATTTTAGAATTATTGTAAAAATGTCCACGTTAAAATGTCCAGATCATCTTTTTGATTTTTTGCCTTTGTACTTGTTTTTCAGCCCTCTGTGCCTGAACTGTTTCTTCTTTTTGATGATGCTTTTCACATCCCTGTTGTGAAGCCACTTGTCACGCTCTATTTCCCACTGGATCTGTTTGATATCTGTAAGAGGAAAGGTGAGAAATAAGGAGCCGATGGATACCTCTGACTACGACGTGGAATAGAGATGAAAATGATGGAAAAGTTAAAACTTGGCTACTGTATTTATAAATGTTAATAAAGTGCAAGCTGCCATTTTTTTTGACACCAGAGAATTTTTTCATTTCACAAAACATACCCTGCCAGCTCAGAATCTCAGAGTTTAAGACCACTCTTGCCATTGTTTTATATTTTACTAATGCCAGCCACACTTGTGTTAGGAGTACACAGCATTAGAGTGCTGCTGTTAATGTTTTTCAGGTGACGCCAGCAGGACTTGTAAAAGCTCTACAAAGGACTGATTATTCAGTCAGTATATACACGTTTAATTCATTAGAATTATTTTGGGGAAACTACTTTTGTTTCACCGATACTGCAAGGAAATACTCCGGTAGGCAGGTAAGGACAGCCATGCGTTGTGCCGCCTTCCCTTCCCAAGAAGGCAGGACGCTCTTTATTAGAGCAAAAAGCACAGGAACCCTTGACAAAGGGCGTACTGCCTGCCCTTAGTTACAGTGCGAAAGGACACGCGACAGCTGCCGCCTCCTCTTGTCTGAAGGCAGAAACTCACTCCAGGAGTCAGAGTTAACATCAGCACGGGGCATCTCTCGTAACCAAAGAGAACTAAGTCACGTCTTACTGACGTTGAGCTGCTGTCCCTGCTGTGTGGTTTCTGAGCACGTGTGCATTTCAGTTAAAGCAGATACATCTTCTTAAGTACAGAACCTGAAGAGAAGGAAGTAAACCAGCAATTACAACTCTCTGCTACTTGTAGCATGTACTTACTTGCGTTATCTCTGTTGGCCATAGCGTTCATTCCAATATTGTCAAACTTGGACCCAGCATTTTCATCCAGCAGATAGCCAAACTGTAAAGAGAGAAATTTTAGTATTTTATTACAAGGAAACAGGTAAAATGTTTGATCGCTTTTTGCTAAGCACTGATCAAACTCACCTCTTCTGCAGATGCCAGTATACTGGCGTCTTTGAGTCTTCTCTTCTTTCCTCGGTTGGATCCTTCACACAGAAAGTATTGTTCTTATGAGACACAATTTCAAGTTCACAAAGACACTAAGTGTTACCATGTTTTTAATTTTTTTTTAATTATTTTTTTAATGAGACCATCTAAAATATTGCATTAGAAACCTTTATTCTCCACCCTCCCTAAAAAAAAAAAAAAGGGAAAAAAGCTTCCAACCAAGAACTAAACGGCACAAATCTGTGCATCAGGTGTTCTTAACAGGCGCACAAACCACCAGTACAACTCCATTCTTCCTTCAAAAGTCGCTCCTGGTCGTTCAACACCAGATCATCACTCTGAATTAGGCCACATTGGTTGGAACACGACCTTTTCATTTGTGGTTTATTCACATCTGAACCCAGATCCAAAAGTGTAGATAATCTACTGTAGTAAACCCCTCCAATTCCAAAGTTTTCAGACCCTGTATTTGTATTAAGCCTTCTCAAATGGAAATCATGGCAGTGTTCCCTTACCTTCAAGTGATCCCACAAAATTCCTAT